CCTAGTCCCAGCATTCAGGGCTAAGCACTGGCTCTGATTAGACACCCAGATCTGTCACCATGAAGAACATCTGAACTGAAAAGCAAAGGTAAGGATTTATTTGGGTGATATCTTTTATTGGACCAACTACATAGTAGAGTTAGACAAGATTTCGAATGCAAAGCATTCTTCTTCAGATCTTCAGAGAACAGCTTGCACTTGAAAGCTTGTCTAACTATCCCAGCTATGCAGCTGGTCAAATGAAAGATATCACCCAAAGAAATCCTTGCCTCCCGCGTAATTCCTGGACCATCACGGCTACAACACCACTCCATCACTACCACAAAAAAGCAAAACGTTCAACAGCTTCCAAGATCCCAGGGTATGAGAGAGGCTTCCCTAGCTGGTCAGAGCAATGAGGCATTCATGCAAAAACACTATGGCCAGAGACGGACCTCATCTACCACGCTGGAAACCGTGTAGAAGGGAGTAAGACAAGACACAAGCCCTGGAAGCTGGTTACAGCCTGCTAACCATTCCCGGGAACCACTCACGGCAGGAAATCCTGTCATGTACACAGGAGGGTTACTGACAGCTGGAAGATGCAATAAGGCTCTTGCCTAAACCTTTGCCTGTGTGTCCCAAGTTTCCTCAAGTAACGTGTCTCTCTTCTGCTGTTTCTCAACGTTAGTGGGAACCTGAGGTGGGAAGGAGGGGCCTGGTTCAGGTTTGGCTGGCACATCCTTGTCAAGGTCAGGGCAGGTGCTGGAGGCCCTCAGTCCACTACAGGTTTTTGTGCTGGTACTGGGAAAAGATGTGCTGGGGATGCTGCCTGGGGTCAGCTTCATCAGATAGGGCTAATGGAACACAGGGACTCCCCACTGCACAATGCTTGTCCTTCACCCACGTCCCACAGGAAGGAGGGAGGTGCAAACGATAGTGCTCAGCGCTCAGCTCCAGCTCACAATGACCACCCCAACAGCGGGCCAAGCCGGGCTGCAAGCAGGTCCTGTCGATAAGCACAGCTATCACTAGAGGGCACTCCCTGCCTGACAGAGCAGGGCCGGGGGTCAGCAGATAGCACGTGAAAAGTCAGAAGTTCTCCCGGAAGGATTCTTTAGAGGCAGCACCTATGTCGTGGCAGCCAAGCTTGTTCCACTCCTGGGAGCAGTCCTCATACCTGAAGCACCACCGTTCTTTATTTGGGTTGGGAGGCAAAATAACGAGGAGCACAAGGGGAGGATTTCAGAGCATGGCTACATCTAAAGGAGGCAGAGAGGCTGTCACTTCACAGACACAGCCAAAACAGGGCCCAGCAATCCAGGCAGCCCCAGCAAGGCAGCTCTTAATCCAGCTGGTCCCCCAGACTGGCCACTCCCCCTGCACTGGTCCAACCTAGTACAGCAGAGACTCTCATTGGGAATAGGCACCAGCTGGGATTCACCAAATCCTTCCCATTAAACCAGGAGTAATTAAGACCCATGGAGTTGGATCCAGGCTGTTCTCAGCCTTGAGCTCTCCTGGGACACCCAGGAAGAGAGTCTCAGACTGCCCTGGCATGGTAACCTACCATAACATCTGCATGGTACTGGGCTCTTGTGGAGTTAACATGATGCCAAGAGTAGTTTGGAAAAATACAGTGTGCTGGTAGCAATCAGGAGCCTGGAGCAGTTACACAAGCCAGAGCAGGGTGAGCAGCCTCTGACACCATTGTAATTCTGCCTGCTGTGTATTAGCCATCTCCAGAGCTCACAGAAGTCTGCTCTACCCAGCTTCCAGGCATGCCACACAATTCAACCATCAAGTTCAATGCCCATTTCCACAGGGTGCGGCCATTCCTGAAGGCTTCAGGAATAGCCAGATCTAATCCAGCCCACAGCACAGCAATCACCAGAGAAACACAAGACTCCCACATGGCATGAGCCCGAATAGTTATGCAGGGCACAGAAGTGAAAATCAGCAAAGAACTGAGCAGACTTGTGTGTGAGGAGGTGAAGCGTTAAGTCTGACTTAAAGGAAAGATACTGGACTCTGCGCAGGGGGGGAACCTCTCTTGTATGGGTGGTGGGCTGGAAGGGGGGAGGTTGGCTGCACCACAGGCAATTTCTGCTGCGTGGCTGCATAAATGTCAGCTCTCCTCGCTGGCTATAGAACGGCAGGGGGCAAATACAGGAACAAGCCACCCCCCGAGGCAGCCAGAGGCTTGTCTCAGTTGCACAGAGAGCCGCTTCCTGCAGCTCGCTGTGTGTAGAACGGCACCTCAGCTAACAGGTTTTAAACCTGGTGAGACCAATGCAAGCTGCAGCTCAAAGGCAAAGTTGGAACCACATGAGGAAGATACCACTGCCCAAGTGGGACTGCTGCCCTCTGAGCACATCCTGGCCTGCCTGTCACAAGCAGGGACAGAGCACAGGCCACACCACCCAATCCCAAGCAGAATCCCTGTCTGAGATGCAGATAAGCCATTTTCATCTCTCCCCCGTGGAGGGCAGCGCTCCACACACCCTAGCAGCACATTACAGAGGCATTCATGAGCACAATAGCCCTCAGCCTCCCTCCTGTAGCAGCCCCTGGGGGTCCTGATGGGCCCAGAAATTTGGCAGCAGGGGAGCAACAGCAACTAACCGTGGCACCACTCACTCCCTGGCCACCCAATTTCCAAGCCCTGCAGGCCAGATGACATGACCCTGCATATGGTGCCGTGGCTGCAGGCGTGATCCAGCACAGGGCTGATCTGGCCCAGAGACTGTGCACACACTAGGCTCCTGGCCTGTGGGACTAAAAGGATGGGCTTTAGCACACATCAAGCATTGTTACAGCAAGGGGCTGCTGATCCTACACGGTCACACGGGCTCACTCAATACAGGCCTTCGCTGGACACTGCCATTGCATCTACTGGCCTGTGAGCCGTGTGGGCCCCCAGGAGGAAGCTGGCACAGAAAAGTCTGTCATGCTGACTCCTTTCTCAGCCAGATAGGCCACTGCCTGCCAGGGGCTCTCTGACCTGTGAGCACAACAGCTAGGGAGCCTGCTAGGAGTCTAAGGCCAGGGCCCTCTTCATACATACTCCTAACCCACAGAGGCTCAACAACTGGCTGCAGCCGGAAGTGCTCCTGGACCACCTGGGTGCTCAGGACACTTCCCCCCACAAAGGTGTAGCACCTTTGGGTTCAGAGTGTCCAGCCCACGTTGGGTTTCTAGTCTAAGAGATGGTCAGAGTCTTGATCAGCTCAAATGGATAAAGATCCCAAAGGAAGTAGCAGCCCTAGCTGCTTCTACAAGTGGAACGCCAGCCTGGCACAGAGAGGATTAAGCTCTGGCTGGCAGCCTCATGGCACACCTTGTTAATCCCTGCTCCTCACTCATGCCAGCAGCTGCTGCACCTTGCTCTGACCCAGCCAGCTCCTCGTGCCAGGGCCGCCCATCCCCTACAGCAGAGCGAGATGGGGAGGCACACCAGCTTAGTCCAGGGATGGGGAGACCAACAGCAAAGCAGAGAGACCCACATGCTCACAGGGCCCCAGAAGCACAGGAAGGGCCAGCCACAGTCGGTTCAACCTCCCACCACTAAATCTTCAGAGATTAACCTCCCCACAAGGGGCTGGGAGTGAGTCATCTACTCTGTGCTGGAGGAGAGCATGCCCCCAGGGGAAAGGCTCCCAGCTTCCGGCTCAAAACTTGGCCAAAGGCAGGTTCCCTCCTGCACTGCAGAGTGGTCCTGCTGGCTCCCCAAACTTCACTCCAGCAGGTACAGGACAAGCCAATGCTCCTCAGCACCAGCCTGTGGCCCCTGCTACGCAGTCCTGGAGCTCTGCTCCCCACGCAGCTCCTCCAATGCCCCTAGTCCTGACCTGCAGGCCCTTGTCCTCCCACAGTCATTAGTGAAAAGATTTGTTTCAAACAGTGCTCCTTCCATCTACGTGACCTGACAATGAAGTCATAGATCGTCACTGACATCACCCTTGTTTCCATGGCAACAGACAGAGGGCACAAGCCCATGACAGGACCCTAGTGCAGGATCAAAGTCACAAGAGCTGCCACCAACAAGAGGGGAGGGAGGGGGGAGCTACAGAAGTCTGCAGAAATCCACTGGGGGCTCCAAACACCCCTACACCTGAAGGGAACTTTGGCACCAACCTCCCCCCTCCCTTTCACTGGCCCAGGGCAAAGAGCTCTTGTTAAAGGAGCAAACCCTTAAGGCATATCTGTTTTCCCAAGTGCATGGAGGAGTCATGGCAAGATGGGCAGTTGGGCCATCAGTGGAAAAGCTCTCAAGAACTGCTGCTGCCTACATGTCTGGTGATGGCACCAGCACTCTTACCTAGGGCACACTGGCAGGGTTGTCTCCAACCCTAGAGAACCGAGTGCCCCCTGCATCCAAGTCACATCCATTCTGTGTGAGCTAGGCCTGAATATCACGCATGTGTCTGGGGTAACTGCTGCAGGTAGGGGAAGCTGCCAGCTCTGCTGCCACAGGGGGTGAGATCCAAAGGGAGCTCTGAGACAGGAGACGACATCGCTGGCACAGCACCATCACCATGGAGAGGAGGCACTGCTTCCCCACCCCAGGCAGTGGGGCCCCAACACCATGACTCTTGGGGGGTGCCAGTCCCTCATTGCCCGTGTGCTGGGGCAGTCATAAATCCCCAACATGCTAAAAGGGGATCTGCAATGGGCTGGGCACAGGGGCAGAATCTGCACCAAGATGCCCTGAGTAGCAACAAATACCCACCCAAATCTGGTGTCCTCACATCTCCCCTCTCTGGTGACAGGTCTCTGGCTCATGGCCCAAGCCCTAAGGAACAGACTCCCCTGGAGCCAGTGGGAAAGCCCCTGCTGGGGCAACGAAGGAAACGGGCCCAGCAGACAAGCCAGGACACACCACCTGCCCCACGCCCACCACGCTCAGCCTGTTCCCACTGCCACCCATGCCAAATAGAGTCCTGCACCAGCTACCAGCCTTCCCACCCTAAGGGAAGTGGCCGCAGTGAGCGGGGGCATCCGTGCCCTGGCTGACATACCTTCCTGTTCCCAGAGAAGAGAAGGGTGAGCTGGTGGATGGAGCCCCCATTCTTGGTGAGCTCCTTCTTAAGGGTCCTGGGAGAAGGCAGGCCCCAATTGGTCTTGGGGCTCTGGATGTCCATGCAGTTGAGCGTGGTGTCAGAAGTGAAGCAATGGCTCTTGGCCTCCTGTAGCAGGCTGCCCTCACTGTGTGTGCGGCGCCGCAGGGAGCTCTGCACATTCAGGGTGTAGACCGGCTCACAACCTGGTGTCGCAATCATGCTGCTGCGCTTGGCCTCATTTCTGTCCAGGTAATGCTCATCACTGTCATCATCCTCCTCATCCTCATCCTCTTCATCCTCTTCTTCATCCTCCTCGTCCTCGTCCTCGTCCTCCTCATCCACCTCCCTGTCCACCGTGCTGTCCTCAGCACCCTCCACGCTTTGGCTGAAAGTGCTATCCAGGCGCAGCTCCGGGATCACAAAGGCTGGGCCGGAGCTGTGCCGCTCCCTCACACTCTCAGCTGGAGTTGCTGCTGCTTTCTCCCAACAGGCACCTGAGACAGCTGGGGCAGCATCCTTAGACACTTCACCACCAGGGCCCTGTGTGGCTGGAGGGGCACTGCCAGCTGCCACGTTCTCCTCCTCAGAAGGCATTTCCCTTGGCTTCTCAGATTCAGTCTCAAGCATCTGCCAGGAAAAGAAAGAGCCAAAGAAACAACAGGATAAGTCAGGACAAGTCCAGAACATCCCCCAGTGCCCAGATGCCATGTCCTAGGGAGGTCAGGAACACCCACCAGTCTTCTGAGTGGTGCATGTTAAATAGAGGGGGCACCCTCTATTTCCGCTCCCCCAGTCTGCACCCACAGCTAGCTTACAGCATACACACATGCACAAGTGGGGCCTAGTGAGGTCCCAGCCCAGACTGCTCTGGAAGTGGAGCAGTGCTACCCTCCATTGTTGGTGCCAGAGGAGACCTTCTTACTCCTCTCCAGGTGAAAGGCAACACTGGGTTATGCCCTCTTGACTCAATCACGCACACACACACTGAACTAGAGGGTGTTGCCAGTCATTATCTGTATTACAGCAGTTCCTAGTGCCCTCCAAACACAGTGCTCCCCCAAGGGCTCTCCATCTATGGTAAGGCAAGAAGCAACCAGTAAGGGTAAGAAGCAGAGTAAGGGAGAACAAGCTGGCAACAGCGAGACTGCATGAAGTAGCTACACTCAGCCTGGGCCTAGCTATGCTCAGCCTTGGCCTGATAGCTACACAGGAGCCCAGTGACAGAGTGAAGTGTGCAATCCCCTCCCAGAACCCAGGCAGCCAAGGCAGAAGGCTCAGCCAGAACCTGCAGCCAAAAGCAAGAGACAATACCATAGTCCTTACCCTGCATCATGCCCTCCCACCTGCTGACACCTGGGTTTGGGGGCTCAGGCTCCCAGCGATCCAGGCTGCCTGCATACCAGGAACCCAGGCTGCAGAGGGGCAAAGCAGGCAGTGGAAACCAGAAACACTCGTCTAGCAGCTCCTGCCCCTCCTGCGCCACAGGAACAAAACACAAAGGGGAAGTGCCTGCTCCTGCTCATCTGCTGATTGCCCAAGGCTCAGCCCAGCCTCTGCCTGTATGAGAAGCTGCATATTTCTGGCCACTTGACACTAACTAGAGGGCTTTTCGTTCCCAGCCTCCCTACCACACCCATGGTGCTCCCTATGGCTACCCCAGGGCACGCTCCCTGTTATGGAGCGCCTCCCACTGCTGCTTGCTGTGGAGTGTCCCACTGCTAAATGCCCTGCAGCTCCCCTCACTGGGAGTCTCACTACTCCCAGCCCCCTGGCAGCATCACTCACTAGGGGCCCCTGCTCCCATCTCCCACTTGGAACCTGAAAAGCCACAGCCCCTCCCCGAAATAACTGTTTGAGCTAGGCAGCTCCGCCATGGCCATGTGTGTGGGGGGGGGGGTCCCTTAATCCCTGCTACTTATTTATTGAATAAGAAGGCAGCATTAGAAGGCTGTAATCTGAACTATCTGAAGTAGAGATAGCTGCAGAAGAGGAAGCAGCCAAGGGAAG